ACGTACACGCGTAGACACACACACACGTACACGCGTAGACACACACATAGACACAGACATGAGCTGTGCAATGAGCAAAGTGAGTGGATAGGGTTTGGAACACACTGTCTGGAAATGTGGTGGAGGCAGGCACAGTTGAGGCATCCAAGAGGGCATGGCATTTATTTTGGATTGTGATAAGGATATGGTGAAATGGGTGGAGATTGACAGAAGACAATAGAGCCAGGCCAGAGAGTGGAGCCAGGGAACTGGGAACAGAGCTGGTGCTGGGGCAGCAGTCATTCTATTCATTTTAGAGCTCAGCCACCCCCCCCCCACCGGCTGGTGCACCAGCTGTAGATCCCAATTTGATCCTGCTCTGCAGGAGGAGGCCGTTGGGCCCATTGTCCCTGTACCAGCCGTGTCTGTGAGAATCCTGTGATTCTGAGTCGAGTCAAGGCTCGCCTCCCCCAGCTGCAGTTGCATGAGGAAAGGAGCCGAGTGAGGAGATTTGCACGGCACCGAGGCAGTGACTTTCGGGATGGTGGTCAGAAACTTCCAAAAGGAGGAGTAGGGCATTGTGTTTGCATGACCCTCCAATCAGGAGGAGCGATGGGAAACCTCCCGGTGTTGGAGGCAGCGATTGGGCTCTGGTGGCTGTCAACAGCTTCGGTTCTGGCTGTGGGTGGCGCGGTTCTCCCTGTTTACAATGGGTTGTGAATTGTTTGCCCTGTCTTTCTTCCCTACTCCAGAAATTCCATTCCACTTCACGCTTCCAAAGGAGGGCGATGTTATCCAGCCGATAGTCAGCGGTACCCCGCCTCTCGTTGGCTCGTTGAAGCAAGGCCCCCGACACAGCACTCCCATTGGTAAGTTCCTTCAGATGGAGGGTCCTGCGCAGTGTTTACAGCCCATTCGGCCCATCCTGGTCCCTGACATTCCACTCCAGCCTCCTCCCGTCCTCTTCCATTCGCCTGATCAGCAACACCCTTCTTAATGCCCCCACCTCCCTCCTAAGTTTATCTGTCCTCCCCCCTTCTACCTATTGATATATTTCACTCCAGCCACTTCCTGAGACCACCCCCGGCTCTCCCCTTCACTCATGTTTCTCCTGTATTCCTGATTGGGTTCATTGGCGATGTATCTTCTAATCGATGGTGCTCAAGTTCATAGATGATAGATAGAGGCCATTTGGCCCATCAAACCCACACCCACCCTCTGAAGAGCATCCCACCCAGCCCCAGGCCCCTACCTTATCCCCGTAAACCCACATCAACCGTGGCTTGTATATCCCTGGACGTTCTGGGTAATTTAGCACGGCCAACCCACCCTAACCTGCACATCTTTGGACTGTGGGAGGAAACCCCCACAGATGCGGGGAGAACGAGCAAACGCCACACAGACAGTCGCCCGAGGCTGGAAGTGCTAACCAACTGGGCCACCGAGCTTGGTGCCTTTTGCGTGAGGAAGTAAAGCAGGGCACCGGGGAGAACTGCTGCGCTTCAAAACAGTAGCAACGGGATCTGTGATGTCTGGCCAAGAGGGCGCAGCAAGATGATCTAACGTCTCGCCACCTCCGACTGTGCGGCACTCCCTCAGCACTGCACTGGGAGAGTTTGTCTGGGTGCTGAGCTCGAACCTGTGGATTGGAATTGAACCTCGGGTGCGAGAGAGTGTTACTGAGGCTGTGTGTTTTGTTGGGAAGCTTAGGCACAGGGGGAGCCAAGGTGCAGCTTGAGATCCAGTGGGCATTGTGTTCGGTAAAGACCGGGTCACTGTCGAAGAGGGTGAGGGGAGACCTTGATCCATTTCTGTGCTAAAAATCCAATAGATTTACTCCCTTTTTTTCTCCTCTGTCTCTTGTTGTTCAGAGCTTGAAGGCCGCGCCATAGCAACGACTGATGTCACTCCTGACAACGCCATGGCAACCAGTGATGTAGCAGCCGAGGGGAGTGTGCGGGGGACCTCGAATTCCGAATCCCCCTCAGTGGGAACAGCCAATGGCAAGCTGTGCCTGAGGATGCAGCTGGAAACCCCAGTCCAGGAAGATGGGAACCACTCGGCTGTCTTCAGCCTCGAGAGTAAGACCGTGGAGGGTGGGGGTGGTGGGGATGCAGGGCCCGAGGCGCTCGCCCGTGTTCGTCTTTTTAATGTGCCCGCTCCAACCCAACCTTTGTCCTGACCCCCCAACCAATTCCTCCTCCAGTGAATGCAGGTACCTCGCCGGTCAGCGAGTGAGAAACTGCAGACCGCTCGACTACTGTGGGCACCACTGATTTCCCAACCCTGTCCTCGAACCCAAACTCTTCGCACAAAATTTGAGCACGCCCATCATTTCTGGACCTTTGCACACGCACAATGTGGATGCATGTTTGGACACAAGTCTGTATGGTTGTGGATGTGCGTGTGCACGTATACAGAATATACATATCTGTGTGCATACAGAACCGTGCACACACGTGTGTGTGTGTGTGTATGTGTGTGTGTGTGTGTAAACGCATGGAAATCAGGGGAGGATCTGAAAGGGTTGAACTTCCCCTTCCTGTGGTAAATCCTGCCTTCAGGGCTGTGAGGGGTTTAACACCCTCCATTCAGCAATGAACAGCCACTGTCTCATTTTAACAGAGCTGTGCCTGTTTAGTGCGATGTGCAAGGTCTGGTGTTCACCACTGAGAGAGGTTACTGTGGTAATGGCTATGGTTTTTAGGTTTGTTCACGAGGATGTGAGCACGTGGCACTCGGACTGAATGGTCTCCAGAAAGAGCACGTGGTGACCTGGAAACCGGCTCTGTGCCGTTTTCAGAGCCACCCCTCCCCACCACCCCCACCAGACTGCAACTCCAGTTTGACACGTGAGATGAGCTGGACCAGTATGTCTTGACCACCAGTTTTACTGGTTTCTCCTTTTCAGATATCTGATGTGTAATCTGTGCTGAAATCAATGTTGGTGTTATGCACTTCTTCTATGCATTCTGTTTCCCCTCTTTTTCCATCCCCCCACTCTCTTTCCTCTCTCCCCACCCCCCCATTCTTTTTCCTCTCTTACCACCCCCACTCTCTTTCTTTCCTCTCTTCC